CAACCGCTCGATATGACGTAACATCCTTGAAAGGAAACAGAGTTAAAAGCGAACTACGATAACAAATATGAGGCAAAATATGCAAAATTAGAAATAAAGTCGAACAAATTGAGAAAGTTCTGAACGAACCGTTTCGCGATTACCAAATCCAGCAAAGAATGGTTGCTTCACGGGGAAGAGGTTCTTTCAAATCAGTTAACGCAGCTATTTTGAATTCTTCAGGACGGCGTTCGATCACCTCCCTGAAAACAACAAATCTCTGAACAAGGAAGAGACCGCATACATACTTTTCGTCGGTGTTTCGGGCGTTGCAGTTCGTTCTAAGCACTTTTGAGCGAACAGGACAGTATGGGTATCGATCCAGCGTTTCAAGCGTTTCGAGCGAAAAGGATAGCAAAGGTCTCGACCACCACAATAAATATCGATTCGTTCAAACAACTTCGGAAAGCACAAAGCGCTGGCGCTTCCTCCGAACGCTAGATCGATATCTATCTTTTGCTTTCCTTCCGAATGCTTAAAACACTCGGAGGAAAAGAATCGCTAGCACAATAAATCATCTGTACCAATCACGCATAGCTAAGGAAATATGCTGGATTGTTAGCTCAAAAAACCGACGAAAAGTATAAACACAGCTGAAGGATTCTCTCTGCACAGACTCCAGACAAAATGAAAGCTTTAATTTTTAGCATTAGCGCGAGGTAACAGTTCTTTTAGTTCTACTAATTAGCTGATCAGCTAATCACTTCCCTTAGGTAACAATGTTCAACATGAAGTATAGTCTTATTCGCTGCAAGGACCGTGCCCGGCAAGATGGGTTCGGCCAGTGCCAAACCCGTTCTCCACCAGTTGCTGAAGCGAGTAAGCAATATCAGTTCTTGGAAAACGACCGACGCGAAGAATACGATGCGGTGTATCTACTTACTCGCTTCAAGTACTGAATGGAAAACGAGCTCGGTACCGCGCCAAACCCATCTCACCTGCCTCTTCAGCCGCAGCGGAAAAGACTTATAGGAGTTCACGTCCCATGCAAAAAAAAACCCCTTGCGGCATCCGTTATAATTTAGAAATTTAAGTGACAAGCTGTTGCCACAGAAGTGAAGCGCATTCATGAATATCTATCCAAAAAGAATGTCGCACCTTCTAAACGCGATGAGCACACTTGTCGGTGACAGCAGCACCGGACCATCAGGCAGTTGCTTACTGTCCTGGGCAATGCTCTTCAGATATTGTTTCGTTGTGTGACTTTGCCCGATCGCTCGAGATGACAAATACACCATCTTGTAACTAAAAATGACGATATTCACATTTATAACATGGTGAGGTTTGGATAGATCACGTCCCTCAGCCTAAGCGAATTGAGAAAACACTAAAACCATTAAAAATTACCCATTGTTCTTAATCCGAGTGTACAATTCAGCAACTCCAGCATGAGCCCACGTTCCGCCAATGGCTGGGATAACATGGCCAAGCACGTCGCTTTTTGTGATTGTTCCATCTATGTCGGAAATCACAATACGCTCATACCACTTGTAAAGGTATATGTTACAGCTACACCATGATGTACCCTGAATACATAGACAAGCGTTAGACCCAAAACACTTTGCCTAAGGCATTGTTCACAGTCTGCGGCCCAGAGTTTCTCTTGAACGCAGCGGTGGCTCCGTGTACAAACTCACCCGTGCGCGTATGCGGCGCGGTTTCTTCACGGCACCGCGGCGACGGGCGGCGAAGGGTGATCGTTTTGCGCCTCTGTCCACTGTGCTTCAATCAGCCCCTTTTATGCTCCTCTGTGTGGAAAGAGGAGGAGAGGAAAGAGTGAAGAAACAGTGAACGCTCGTAGGTGAGTTGATGGTAATGGTGAGCAGAGAATACAGAAAAGTCGAGTAACAGAGTATTATTTCAGTCAACAGCGAAACTAGCAGAATAATCCCCTTCGATCGGGACGTGATGTTACCGTTATGAGGTTCACAACCAACTGTTGGCAATTTGCCAAACCTCAGCTTGAACTTCGCGTAAAAGCAGCTTGCGTCGTTTTCACCATCGAAGGGAACTATCAAGTTGCGCCATTCACTGAAGTAATTCGCCGTGATAGTCGACTTTTCTGTGATCTCTCACCACTACCACTAACTCACATATGCACCCACTATCTGTTCAATTCCCTTCCTCTCTCTACTTTTCCCTCCTCTTCCTTCCACATAAAAGAGGCTGCTGGATTGGAGCACAGCGCCGGAGACGCGGGCCATCGCCTTTCGCTTGCCCTGCCGCCGCGGCGCCGTGAAGAAACCGCGCCGCATACGCGCATGGGTGAGTTTTTCCCTCCTCCCCGCAGCGGTTCGGCGAAAAGCTTTCGATACGTATCGACTGGCGGTTGGGCGAAGAGTCTGGCGGTTGGGCGAAAGGGTTTGATACGAATCGACGGGCGTTTCGCCAAACCGCGACGTTTTTCGCCTTCGACGAAACGCTAGCTCGACCGCCCTGGCGTTTTTCGCTAGCAAAATCGATACGCATTTATTGGCTTTTGCGCGCCCAACCGCCACAAGGCCTAAAACACCGTTTAGGGTGGTCAGAGGGGCGAGACCAGAAAGACGTCATCGGCGAGTCGCACTTCTCTTCTCTTCTTTATCCTCACAGAAGGCAGGAAGAAAAGCGCGCCAATGACGTCGTTTTCCGGCCCCGCCCGTCAATTCCATACAGCGCATTAAAAATACTGAGCTCAATATACTTATTCATTTATGATCGGACACTTTTCAAAGCAACTGGACATCATTCAGACCAAATCGGACATCTTTTAGTATCATACCGGGAGATCAAACTCCCTACAATTGGTTAGCTAGACTGCTACAAGCTCCGTCCAATCTCCGTCCCCGTTCCAGCTCGGTCATAGTTTCCCAAAATTTGCTCTGTAAATTCTGACTCCGTATATTTCTTGCACTTTCACTATTTCGCATATACGCACTCACTGAAAAGGACTGATACACCCATACAAGTACTTTTAGCCTTATACCTTTCTTAACGTCGTCCTTTTCAAATTCATTTTCACAAAAGAAATATGTTTATAGATACGCCTTTATATACTGACACACCAAACCCGCTCCTCCGACAATGCCCGTTTTTGCCTCTTCTTGCGGAAGTTTCTCACAAACTTTCGCCTTTTCAGGCTTTAAAAGGTAGCTCCGCCCAGTTTCGAAAAATGATGCATGTTGGATGCCTGGAGTCTGAACTGGCAGGTTATGGTCTCCTTCTCGCTCGCAACAAAAACCCAGGGAAAGTTTCTCCTGGCTTGGTTGAGAAGTGTCCGTTTTGGTTTGAAAAACAAATGATTTGGTTTGAAAAGTGTCCATTTGGTGGGGGAAAATGTCCGAATTGAAACGAAAATAACGATTTGGAATGAAAGATACAATTTCAATATGTAGCTAAACGTTTCCACCTTCAAAGCACAAAAAAATCACCTGGAACTTGGTTGTAATACTGAATCGACATTCATTCGCTCCATAAACCAAACCAAGGCTTCTGAGCTTTTCTGACGAAAGGCGAAGTGATAGCATGTACGAAGGACGAGAAGATGGACGAGGATCATCCAGCTCATCTTCACTCAGCGGGCTGCAATAAGCACTAGTGGCATCTTCCTCGCACAAGGAGATGGGGCAAAACGGATAAAAAATATTTTGCAGCTATGAAGATCATACTTACAAAATATCTTCGTTACTAAGAGCACTTCGCTGATCGCTAGCGTTGCGAGTTCGAAGATTATCAGGATGCTCTACGACTGGCATGACTTCCTGCGTCGGAGTCTAAAACAGGGGCTATACAGAGCCGCACACGAGGCTAAAGCGAGCAATATCGGAACCGACCTTATCTGCGAAGTTAGAATCATCCGATCGGGCAGTAGGGCTCGATGGTTGGGAGGTTCCACGGGATGCGTGACCGCTGTCGATGCTAACTCTGAACAAGCTTTATAGTGAATTCAAAATGCGTTTAGTGTTACAAAAGCCTAAAAAGCTGCAATCAGAATAAGGGCAAATCAGCACATAAGAGTAAGTGCAACTACAACTATAGAGATCACAACAGTCTTGTTCGCTTCTGCTAGGGAGGGTTTGGCACTGCGCCAGCTTTTTTCCATCAACTATTGTCGCTTTGCCCTCTTCAGCAACTGGATGAAAACGAGCTGGTGCTGCGCCAAACGCTGCCCCCAACCCAGCATCCGCAGCTAACAAGACTATAGCAGTTTCATCATTCTTCAGAAGTGCTTGCAGTTTGGGAACACAAAATTTTTCAGAACGATTCCTAGAAACAACAATGACAAGTAAGGAACTTACGCAGTGCTACTGGCCTTCCCCAGATATTTAGCTATCTTTGAAGGATCTGATGCAGCATCCGGACTGAACAATTCGTCTAATGAAATTCCTTCCTCTGCTGGAGGTGCAGGTGCAGGAGACGAACGATGGCCCCATGGGAACCACGTCCAGCCCGACGACTCACCC